GTTGGATGGATGAGATTCCGGGCGAGTACCGGCAGTCGGTGCTTGACAAGGCCTCGCCCGGGGATCGGTCGACCCACGACGACAAGCACTGCCTGGGCATGCTCAAGCACTACAGGAGCCTGATGCCCTACGCGCAGGAGGCCCGCAAGCCCATGTTCAAGCTCGCTCCCGCCGACGGCGCGATCGGCGGGCACATCAACGCAGTGCGCGACTGCTACGACGACTTCCGCGATCTGGCCTGCACGGTGGCTGAGCGCTGCGGCGTGGCCTGCCCGCAGCTGGGTCCCCAACCGTGAGAACGCCGACTGACCGTCCGTGAGAAGTCGGGTTCCACTGCCGTCGCGGCAAGTTCGGCGCCGCAACGTCGACCGGAGAGTGCTCACGTAGCCTGGCGGAGTGGACGACTCCCAGGACTTCGGCGGGGCGCCGTCGGCCCGCACGAAGGTGCGGCGGGGCGCCAGCCGGGCGCGCTACGGGCGCGATGACCTGCTTGCCATCCTCGACGCCGGACTCATCGCCCATGTGGGCGTGACAACAGCCGAGGGGCCGCTGGTGCTGCCCATGGCCTACGGCCGGGACGACGAGCGCCTCTACCTGCACGGCGCCGCCGCCAATCATCTGCTCGGCACGGGCGACGACCACGAGGTATGTGTGACGGTGACCCATCTGGACGGGCTAGTGATGGCCCGCACGCCGTTCCACAACTCGATGAACTACCGCTCGGTCGTGGTGCGAGGCCGGGCCAGGCGCATCGACGACGAGCAGGGCAAGCGTCGGGCGCTCAAGTTTGTTACCGACCACATCGTGGCGAACTGGGACTCCTCCCGTCCGCCGTCACAGATCGACCTGCGCAAGACCCTGGTGCTGGAGCTGCCGCTGAGCGAGGCATCGGCCAAGGTCCGCACCGGCGACCCCGTCGACGAGCCCGACGACATCGCCGGTCCGTGGTGGGCCGGCGTGGTGCCCATCACCACCCGCTTCGAGCCGCCAGTCTCCTCGGCCGACCTCGCCGCAGCCCTACCCACGGCCGCGCCCCCTCCGATAGCGGCCCTGGCGGGCTGCACACCCGACGAGCGGCTGCGTCCCGGACGAGACTGAGCACTCGGGCGGCTTCAGGCGCGCTAGGGCTCCTCCGAAGTTCCGCTACGGCGCCGACACTCAGGCGGGCTCAGGCTCTTCCGGGGCAGGCTCAGGGTCGGCCTCGGGGTCGTAGGGATCCGTCGTAGCGGAGTCGTCGTCAGACCGGAAGATGCTGGGGTCGTCGGTCACCGACTCGGGCGGCGGTGCCTCCACGCTGATGTCGGCATCGAAGTCGTAGAACTCGAGCGTCACTACGAACTGCGGCATGTCGTCGGCCTCTTCGCCGACGAACCCCATCAGCAGCGTCGCCAAGTCGAGGGACATGCGCCGGATCAGCGTGTCATCATCGATCCAGAATTCAACGTCGAGGCCCAGGCCCGAGAGCATCTCCTCGAATGCGCCGGCAATGCCTTCGCTGTCGAATCCCTCCGAGTCGCCGGAATCGGGGGCCGCCCCGAGGGCGTCGCCGGCCAGATCGAGCAGAGACACCGTGGAGCTGACCCTCGTGGTCTGCACCCCGCGCACATCCTCGCGGCCCACAACGACCGCATCGCTGGCGGCCGCAACGAGCGTCGCTGCCTCCGCCAGCGGATCGCAGTCCGCCGCGGGCGCATCCATCATCTGGGGGAAGAGGCACAGCAGGCCGAGCTGGCCCTCGGGCCCAGGCTGTCCCGCCGTCGCGGGCTCGTGATGAACCAGGCCGGGCCACCCTCCGCCATGGTGCCGGCGAGGGGGCGGACGAACTGCTGGCCGCCCACGTATCTGACTTCGACATCGCCACCTTCGGGGAACTCTGGGTCCAGGCCAGGCGGGAGCTCGACGGTCACCGCGAGGTCGCCGTCGGCATCGAACTCGAACCTCGCCGACAGCGCGCCCATGGGGCCCGCCTCCGCGGGCAGCCCGAGCGTCGCCTCGCCCCGCACCGAGCGCCCGTCAAGCTGCGTCGTGGCCGTGGCGAGGAGCGCCTCGGCATCGCCCGCCTCGGGAGCCACAACGTCGGCCGGCGTGTCGGCGGCGTCAGTCGAGCCGTCCGGCTCCGGTGCTGAGGCATCGCCGGTGTCGGCACTGTCTACGGCATCGTCGGCGTCCGGCTGGTCACCGGAATCCGTGGCACCGCTGGAGGAGTCGTCGGAGTCGGGCGTCTCGACCTGTACCTGCGGGATCGGCGGCGGTCACCACCTCCCCGGCCTCGTCGGTGCAGGCCGAGGCGACGAGCACCGCCGCCATCGCCACGATCAAAGGTGCAGAGAATCGGCGCATCAGCGCCTCCTGGATGGAGCGGAGCTTGCAGAGGCTCGATACGCCTGCGCTTCGCGCCTAGTCGGATGCCATTCTGCCCTTATAGACGTTCGTCGGACGGACATGGTTCCCGAATTTCCCTGGTTGGGCGCCCACGCGGCGCAGGCGCGTGTGCAAATCGGAGGCATCGAGCAGCACCGGCCCGAGTACCGGGCTGAGGTTCACGCCGCGCTGGGGGAGCCGGTGCGGCTCGCGATCGTCGAGGACCTTGCCGCGCACGAGGACCTCAACCCTGCCCCGTCGTGGTGGCACTGGTCCGATCCCGGATCCCGTGGCCGACGGCAAGGCCGCTGCGTTCGAGTCGACACTTGAGACCCTCGATGCCCGCATCCGCTCTCTAAAGTGATCTTCGACAACCAACCGGATCGAGTCCCGGGTCCGACCCCGGCTACGACACGAATAGGACGGTGGTGGCGGCCATGGCCGAGAAGGGCATCGAAATCGCCTCGGAGCACCCCAAGCCCTGGACCGACGAGATCGCCCGAGCCGCCGACGTGATCGTCACCATGGGCTGCGGCGACGCCTGCCCGGTGGCAACATCGACGGCCGGCTGAACTATCGCATCAGCGGCCACCGCGGCACCGTGCACTATCTGTCGTTCACGGCCTTCACCGGAAACTACGGCGCCGGTCAGGACCGACTGGGCCAGGCCGGCTTCCTGCACGGGGGCGATCTCATCGTCGACGACGGCCGCTTCGAGATCTTCGTCGGACCGACGCGACGGGGCGACAACTGGCTGCAGACCAGTCCCGAGCCGACCCTCATCGCGATCCGGCAGTTCTTCTTGGATCACGACATAGAGGTGCCGGTCTCGGTGCGGATCGAGTGCCTCGACCACGACGACCTTCCCCCGCCGCTACCGCCCGAGCGGCTCGGACGGGCACTGGAGGGGGCGGCTGCGTTTGTGGCGGGATGCTCGACGATCTTCACCGACTGGGTGGACGACCTCCGCACCAGGGCGCGCAATGCCTTGACGCTCGATGTCGGGCCAATGCAGGGAGCGTGGGGCGACCCCAACCAGATCTTCCGCCACGGGGCCTACGACCTCGCCGACGGCGAGGCTCTGCTGATCGAGTTCACCCCGCCGGAGTGCTTCTACTGGAACTTCCAGGTGGACAACCGGTGGATGGAGAGCCTGGACTACCGATGGCTGCCGGTGACCGTGAACAAGCGCACCGCCCGACACGAGCCCGACGGGTCGGTGCGAATCGTCGTGGCCGCCTCCGATCCCGGCTTCGGCAATTGGATGTCCACCGACGGGCACCGCTTCGGCGCCATCGGTTTGCGCTGGAACCAGGCGGTGGCCGACGTCGAACCCGAGGTGCGGGTGATCGGTGCCCGATAGGAGACGCTCGAGGGCGCCGGCCGCAATGATCGCAGCCTCTCGGGCCGAACCAGCGATGGCGATCTCCATTGCGGTTATGAGACCTCCAGCAGCGATCCCGCGAGGCGGTGCCGGGCTGCTTCGTCGACGTAGGCGACTCGACCTGCGCATATCGTCGCATGGACCCGGTAGTCGTCATCGAGGAGCACCAGGTCGGCGATCGAGCCCGGATCCAGACGCCCGCGGCGGGTCTCGCCGATGATCCCCGCCGGGGTGGAGGTCGCGGCCGCTAGAGCAACGTGGCGGTCACAGCCCGTGAACTCTGCGAGATTGGCCGCAGCCTGATTCATGCTCACCACGCTGCCGGCCAGAACACCGTCGGCAGTCCGCACGCTCACTCCATCGAACACGGTGGGAGTGCCCGACAGCCGGTAGGTGCCGGGCGGCTGCCCCATTGCCGCCACGGCGTCGGTCACTAGGGCGATGCCGGCGGGCCCCTTGGCGTTCCAGGCCGCGGCCACCGCGATGGGGTCGATGTGCACGCCGTCGACGATCATGGTGGCGGTGAGGCGCGAGTCCGCCAGGGCCACGCCCACCAGATTGGGGCTTCGATGCCCGAGAGGGGCCATCGCGTTGAAGAGATGGGTCACTGTGCTCACACCGGCGGCGATGGCCGCCAGCGTCTCGTCGCTGGTAGCTGCCGAGTGGCCGGCGGCGACGACGATGCCTCTGCGCTTGAGCTCGCCTATGACGTCGAGCGCATCGGTCAGTTCGGGAGCGATCGTCACCATGGTGACGCCGGTGGAGCGATGCCAGTCATTGATCACGTCGGCACTGGCGCCGGTCAGGTGTTCGTGCGGGTGCACGCCGGAATGCCGCGTGTTGAGCATCGGGCCCTCGAAGTGGGCTCCGAGGGGTTCGGCGCCGCAGTAGCCGGTGGGTCGTGCCCGCAGCGCCTCCAGCATCGAGCGGTTGAGGCTGCGGGGCCCGGAGATGATCGTCGGAAGGAACGACGTCACGCCGCTGCGGGGCAGCTCGCGTCCCAGATCCCATACGACCCCCGGGTCGTCCTGGAGGTCGTGGCCGTAGCCGCCGTTAATCTGCAGGTCCACCAACCCCGGGCAGACCACAAGACCCGACGCGTCGATCAGTGGCGTGTCCTCGGGGCCTCTCTGCGGCGCGGGTGCGACGGGCTCGGCGGGGCCGAGCATGGTGATGGTGTCGCCCTCGAAGGTGAGGGTGAGCGCCTCGAGCCCGGATGGGGTGAGGCACCGTCCTGCGACGATGCTGACCGCGGTCACCCCGACGGGCTCCGGCGGGCCAGAGCGGCTGCTCCGATGACACCGACCGGTTCGGGAGGCTTGAGCATGATTCGATCACAGAGATTGAGGGCCCGCGTGAAAGGAGATCGACTCTGGAGGCGGTTCAGACCTTGTTCGAGGAAGTCCATTAGCAGCGAGGCGCCGACGTCGGCGACGCCACCGCCGATCACGATGCGGTCGACGTCGAAGGTCAGGGCAAGAATATGGACGGCGCGGGTCAGGTGCTCGACGGCCCGGCCCAGGATGAGCGTCGCTTCGTCGTCGCCGCGGTCGGCGGCGGCGAATAGCGCCTCCACCGATGAGTGCGGGCCCGCCGCGGGCCATTGGCGGGAGAGGGCCGTCCCCGACGCCACCGCCTCGAGACAGCCCTGCAGCCCGCATACGCATCGCGGTCCGTCGGGATCGATGCAGAAGTGGCCGATGTCACCGGCGAAGCCGTTATGGCCTCGGTAGATGCGGCCATCGAGGATGACGCCGGCCGCGATGCCCGTGCCGATGCTGAGATATACGAGGTCACGGAGGCCGCGATGGTCACGACGGAGGATCTCGTAGACGCCCAGGGCGGCCGCGTTGACGTCGTTGGCGATCCAGCAGGGAACTCCGAGGGTGGCGTTGAGCCGGGACACGATGTCGAGGGCGTCGTCGCCGATCCCGAGGTTGATCGCGTGCCGGACCAAGCCGGCTGAGCTGTCCACGATTCCGGGAAGACCGATCCCGACACCCTTGAGCTGCTGCCCGTTGGACTGCAGTGCGGCGACCGTGGAGATGATGCCCGCCCCGACCTGTTCCACTCCCCCGGCCAGTGTCGGCACCGTTAGGTCGGTGATGACGTTGAAGTGCCGATCAAAGGCTGCCGCGTGTGTCTTCGTCCCGCCTACGTCCACGCCGATCACAACGTCGCTGAGCTCCGTCGCTTGGCTCACCGGTCCTGGCCCAGACGAAGAGCGCGTTCGCTCACGGCGTCGAACAGGTGCACGCTCGGCGTGTTGATGGCAAGGTCGATGGTGTCGCCGACGGCTACCTGGCTGCGGGGAGACAGGCGGGCCAGGCACGGGGCGCCGTCACGGGAGTCGCCAACCGATGCCTCGGCGAGTTCGGGCGTGTCGATCTCGGCGGCGGCCGCCTCGATGGTCGTGTGGGCAACGAGCTCCGATCCGAGCGCTTCGAGCAGTTCGACCCGTGCCCGAACCGATGGCCAGTCGGCGTTGTCAGGGGTCTGCTCGACCAGCCACTCGGGTCGAATCCCCACGATCACTTCCTGCCCGTCGCTACCGGAGAACTCGTCACCTTCCGTCCCTTGGTCTGGCAGCGAAAATGAATGGGCGCCGAAGATGACGCGAGCGGCTGTGGCGGTTCCCTCTATTCGACCCTGATAGAGGTTCATCGAGGGCGAACCGATGAAGGCTGCGACAAACACGTTGTCAGGATGGTCATAGAGCACCTGAGGTCTGTCCACCTGCTGGAGGAGGCCATCGCGCAGGACCGCGACGCGTGAGCCCATGGTCATCGCTTCCACCTGGTCATGGGTCACGTAGACGGTCGTGGTCCCAAGATTGCGTTGCAGTCTGATGACCTCGGCGCGCATCTGAACCCGGAGTCGGGCGTCGAGGTTCGACAGCGGTTCGTCCATCAAGAACGCGCCGGCTTTCGGACGATGGCACGACCCATGGCCACTCGCTGACGCTGGCCGCCCGACAGGACGCCGGGTTTGCGATCGAGCAGATCGGTCAGCTCCAACATCGCGGCGGTATCTTCTATCCGCCGGGCCGCCTCGTCTCTGGGGACCCTCCCCAGCCGGAGGGAGTATCCGATGTTCTTTCGTACCGTCATGTGCGGATACAGGGAATAGTTCTGGAACACCATGGCGATGTCGCGCTCGCGTGGCGTCTCGGCGTTGACGACCCGGCCGTCGATCTCGATGGCACCCTCGGTGACGTCCTCGAGGCCTGCGATCATCCGCAGGAGTGTGGATTTTCCGCAGCCCGACGGGCCGACAAGAACAAGGAACTCGCCGTCGGCGATGTCCAGATTCACATCGCTGACGGCACGAAATCCGTTGGGGTAGACCTTCGAAACTCCCGCCAATCGCAACTCGGCCATGGCTACACCCCCGATTGTGCCCGGGTCACAATGACTGGCTCAATCACTTGATGGCACCTTCGGTGAGTCCCCTGAGAAACTGTCGAGAGAAAACGATATAGAGGAGAATGATCGGCAACATTGCAAGCGTCAGAGCTGCAAGCAAGGCGTTCCAATTCCTCTCGAACTGACCGAGGAAGGCCGAAGCGCCCAATGTGACAGTCCTTGTCTTTTCAGATGGCGCCAGGATCAACGGGAACCACAGATCGTTCCAGACCGGCAGCATTGTGAAAACGGCCACTGCTGCCATACCCGGCCTGACGAGAGGCAGCACGAGTCCAAGAACCCGATACTCGCTGGCGCCGTCGACGCGGGCGGCTGACTTCAGTTCTCGCGGCACTTGTCGCATGAACTGTGACATCAAGAAAACGCCCAGTGGCAGCCCCATCGCAGTGTACACCAGAATCAGCGCCCACAGGGTGTTGATGAGATTCAGGCTTACCATTAGTTTGAGGATGCTGACAGTTCCAAGGCGGATCGGGATCATAATACCGATAGCCAGATACAGAGTAAGCAGAGTGTTGCCTCTGAAATCATATTCAGTCAGAGCGAACCCAGCCATCGAGGAAAAGAGCACGACCAGAAGAACCGAAGCGACCGTCACTATGAAACTGTTACGAAAGTAGACATCAAAACTTGCGCCGCTCAAGACTGTTTCGTATCCCACCAAATCGAAGGTTTCAGGAGAGGGCAGCGAGAAGGCATCATCAAAGATCGCTTGACGTGACTTCACCGAATTGACGATGATCAACAATGTTGGGCCGAGCGCGATGAACGTGTAGGACAGCAGAACGGCATGAACGCCCCACCGCCCCCTACGCTGCCCCCAGTGAATGCGCTGCCTCATGTGAGGGGCGCCGTGCGGCGGTGCAGAGGCACCTGGTTGCAGTTCTCATAGCTCGTATGTGGTGATGCGTCGCTGCCAACCGAACATGTACAGCAATACCCCGACCAAGATGATAAGGAACATCACGGACGCGACGTAGCGCCCAAGGCCGCACTACCTGTAGTTTCCAGAAGCACCAAAAATGTCCTATAAAAGAAGGTGCCCATAATATCCGAAGCGAAGTCAGGGCCAGCGACTACGCCCTTGACCGCATATATCAAATCGAAAGCATGAAGTTGCCGATGTATGTAAGAATAGAGACAATCCCCAACATGGGCAGTATCAACGGGAATGTGATGTCCCGGAACACGTGCCAAGATCCTGCTCCGTCAACTCGGGATGCTCAATAAGATCTTTCGGAATAGCGATAAGCACGGCGTAGAAGAAGATCATCGGGATTCCCACCCATTGCCATACCGATATCAGTGACAGTGTCGGAAGCACGGTGCGGGATTCGCCCAGCAACGGCGTGTCTACACCGACAGCCGCTGTGACTCCCCATATCGGACTCAGAATAAGTCTCCAGATGAAACCGACGATGACCACCGACAACGTCGTCGGCAAGAAGACCAACGTCCGATAGATGTTGAGGCCCCGGACACCCTGAACCGTCAACAGCACCGCGAGCAGCAGACCGACCGGGTTTTGCAGCAACATGTGGAACGCGAAGAACTGGAAGTTGTGACCCAGCGCGTCCCAGAATCGGGCTGCGAAAGTTGGGTTTGTGAACAGAGTATCGTAGTTATCCAACCCGGCGAACTTGCCATCATCGTCGAAGAAGCTGCGCCGCAGCGAATCAAGCAGCGGATACACCATGAACACGGAATAGACGATCGTTCCCGGCGCGAGGAATACGAGTATCGGCCCCCACCTGCGCCAACGGCGAGTGACAGACCCCGAGCGGGGGACCTGCCGATCGGCAGGTCCCCCGCTTAGAGGGAGTCCCTCGGTGACAACCGCTTCAGCTGCGGTCAACGAATTCTCCGTGTGCTGCAGGCCGTGTCATCGACCAGCAGTTCATCTTATGTTCAGCCTCCCGGTGTGTACCAAGAGTCCAGCCCGTCCTGAAGCCTCTGTGCTCCGTCTTCGGGAGTCATGTTCCCAAGGATGATAGCATTGCTAACTTCCCTCAGCTCTATGGGGAACTCGGGATCACCCGAATCCAGGGCCTCATAACCAGTGCGATTGGCCGAGTCGCAGTCCTCACGCCAAGACACGAACTCCTGAGCAACCGGATGGTCATACTCGACCGGTGTGTCCTGCAAGCTGAAGAAGCCCGACAAAGCCCCGGCGTAGATGCCGGCGAACTCAGGAGCCGCCACCCACGACAAGAACGTGCGAGCAGCGTCAGCATTGGGCGATGCGGAATTCAGGCCAATCGCAAGGTCGATATGGTCGACGATATAGCACGTGTCCTGACTATCCGGACGCGGTGTCCTGAAGGCGCTGAACTCAAAGTCGGCGTTCTCATCGAACCCTGAGATCTCCCAAGACCCACCGGGGTAGATCGCAGCCTGACCTGTCTCAAACAGGATCTTGCCGTCCGGGTAGGGGATACCGGAGGCTCCGGGGTGCATATAGGGCCCCAAGCGAGCCATAGTGGCGAAGGTGTCGATGTTGACTCCCGATCGGTGACCTTGTCTTCTCCATTGATCAGAGCCAGCCGTCCTTCTTCACCCTTCCAATAGTTCGCACCGATGTTCTGGAACAGATGTGCTCGGCCTCCCACTCAGAAAGGCCTGTTCCGATAGGCGTATAGGTGCCGTCGTCGAGGATCGCCTGCAACACCTCGAAGAACTCTCCCTCGGTCTCAGGCACGCTCAATCCGAGCGCGTTGAAGCATCCACATTGTAGTAGAACCCTTGAATGATCGATGCAACAGGCACACAGTACGGTGTCGACCCATCCGCGGAGAGCCAAGCGCTTTGTGCAGAGGGACCGAAGCTGTCGATCCCATCCAGATCATTCAACGGCGCCAGATGACCATCATTGAAGAGCTCCCGGGAACGATCGAAGGGGAAACACGTGATCAAATCGCCTGCTATACCGCCCTCTAGACGGGTCCGCAACGCTGGCGGGTATTCCAGCGGCGTTGTGGGTGCAAACACCACGTTGATATGCGGATACTCGGCCTCGAACGCTGGGATGATCTGGTCATCCCAAATCGCCTGATCATCCGAACGCCAGCTCTCAATCGCAATCGTGACCTCTTCCGGTTCCGGCTCTGGAGCCTCGGTGGGCTCGGGTGCGGCCGGCTCGGGCTCAGCCGGCTCCGGCTCAGCGGGCGCGGCCTCGGCCGGCTCGGACTCAGCCGGCGCGGGCTGTGCGCCGTCGTCGTCATCACCGCAACTCGCAGCTACTAGCCCGAACGCGAGCAGCGCGGCTAAGAGTCTCATTAGTTTGCCATGGTCCTAAACCTCCTGGGTCCCTCCCGTGATGGGATCGGGTGTGTTGGTGGCGAAGCGACGGTGTGGCATCTGCCGTTGTTCGCTTCGTTTGCTGTCGCGGGGCACCCATCAGGCAACCCCCAGCTCTTGGCTCAGCAGGAGAACGCTCACGCCGAGAAGGACCAGGTCGGCGCCGAGCTTCGACGGCCGCAGATTGACTGAGCGGCCGAGCCCGGGCAGAGTGCGCGCTCGCAGTGACGCCAGGGCGGCACGGCACAGCTCGTCAGGGAGGGGCAGCCCGTACTCGGAGACCACGATGTCGTGGACGTCGAGCACGCTCACCGCTCCGGCCAGGGCGAGGCCCAGCCGCCGCCCGGCAGCCGCCACCACCTGGTGCGGATCCTCGCCGGCCGCGATAGCGGCGCTCAGCCGTGGAACCGAGACGAAGGTCTCCAGGCAGCCTCGGTTGCCGCACGGGCATCGGGGGCCGTCGTCCTCCACGGCTATGTGGCCGATCTCGCCGGCGGCGAAGCTCTCGCCGTAGTACTGCTGGCCGTTGAGGACTATCCCGGCGCCCACGCCGGTGCCGATCTTGATGACCATCAGGTTGTGGCTGATCGATCCGTAGGAGTATTCGGCCAGCGCCGCCGCGTTGGCGTCGTTGGAGATCCCCACCGCGAGACCGAACCGGTCATGAAGCCGCTGGGCCAGGTCCAGGCCGAACCAGCGGAAGTTGCTGGCCTCGACCACGGTGCCGTCGGGCGTCACCACACCCGGCGTTCCGACACCGATGCCGAGAAGCCGTGCGGGCGCTGCCGAGATCGCCTCGGCGATGGCCTCTTCGGTCATTGCGACCGCTCTCTCGCCAGTGACGCCGTGGAACGGGTGCTCGATCCTATGGATGATCTCACCGGCCAGGTCGACCACGGCGGCCCGCAGCACCGAGCTGTCGCTCAAGTCGACGCAGATGATGTTCCGTGAGCAAGCGTTCAACCCCAGCAGCTGGGAGGGCTTGCCGACCTTGGCCGGCCCTCGTCCGAGCTCCTCGGCGAGGTCCTCGTCGAGGAGGTCGGCCACCAGGGCTGAGACGGTCGCCGGCGCGAGGCCGGTCATCCGGGCGACGTCGGCGCGGCTGCGACCGTTCGAGCGGAACAGCGCCTGCAGCACCAACCGCCGGTTGGTGGCCCGAGTGTCTTGTTGTCCCGCTTTGCCTCTACCCGCAACAGCACCGGATCCCCCCTGTCAGCGCACATCGGAGATTTATTTGTTTAGCAAACGAAAATATATCGGTCAAGCCGGTTCACTGCACCCCCTGGGACCTCTCGGGCTCCTCCCCCGTGGGCTGAGCGACGCCGAGCAGGCTGACCTGACCATCACCGTGTGCGACCAGGCCCACGAGGATCTCGACCCGCCCCGTCGTGGTGGCACTGGTCGATCCCTGGCCCCGTGTCCGACCGGCGGGACGATGAGGACGACGAAAAGGTGGTGTCTGGGCGAGCCTGGACCGAGTTCTGCGACGCTCTGAAGGCCGCCGGCAATCTGGTGGCTCAGTCCAAGAACTTGAAGGCGGCCCGCATCTCGGCCACGAACAGCTCGGGCTGCTCGAAGGCGGCGAAGTGCCCGCCCGCCTCGGGCTCGTTCCAGTACCGGATGTCGGTGTAGCGCTTGGCCGCCCAGCGCCGGCTCGCCCGGAAGACCTCGTTGGGGAAGATGCTGCACGCTGAGGGGATCTCCACCTCGCCGCCTGCGAAGTTGGCGAAGCTCTCCCAGTACAGCCGGGCCGACGAAGCGCCCGTGGCGGTGAACCAGTACAGCGACACGTTGTCGAGCAGCTGGTCGCGGCTGTAGTAGTCCTCGGGGTGGGCGCTGCGGTCGGTCCACGACCAGAACTTCTCGAGGATCCAGCCGGCCAGTCCCACCGGCGAGTCCACCAGGCTGTAGCCGATGGTCTGGGGCCGGCTCGACTGCTGCTTGGAGTACCCCGAGTCCCACTTGTCGTAGTAGCCCATCGACTCCAGCGCGGCCTGCTCCTTGGGCGTCAGATCCGCCATCGACTCCTTGGACGGCCCGGCCACCGGCATGTTGGTGTGTATGGCCCGGCACCGCCCGAGGTTCTGCATGCCGATGTGGGTGGTGACCGCCGAGCCCCAGTCGCCACCCTGGGCGACGTAGCTGTCGTAGCCCAGGCGGCCCATCAGCTCGTCCCACATGGCGGCGATGCGCTCCACGCCGGTGCCCGGCGCCGACGGCTTGGCGCTGAAGCCGTATCCGGGCAGCGAGGGCAGCACCAGATGGAAGGCGTCGCCTTCTCCCCCGCCGTGGGACACTGGATCGACAAGCGGATCGATGATCTTGGTGAACTCGAGCACCGAGCCGGGCCAGCCGTGGGTGACGATCATCGGCAGGGCGTCGTCATGGGCCGAGCGGATGTGCTGGAAGTGGATGTCGAGGCCGTCGATGGCGGTGATGAAGTTGGGGCGGGCGTTGGTGGCGGCTTCACAGCGGCGCCAGTCGTAGTCGCCGGCCCAGTACTCGCACACCTCCCTCAGATAGGCCAGGGGGATCCCCTGGGACCAGTCGTCGACGACTTCGGCCTCCGGCCAGCGGGTGAGGGCCAGCCGGGCCCTGAGGTCCTCAATCTCGGTGTCTGACACCGAGATGGTGAAGGGGCGGATCTCTGCGCTCATGTCCGCATCGTAGGCAGGCCGCCGGCTGGAGGCGGCCCGAGGCTGTTCGTACACGACGCGTTGGCCGCGACCGCTTCTTGCAGAACGACACGCAGGGCGGCGCGGCGAGCGTCTGGCCAGCGAGGAGACCGCTTGTCAGCGACCGCTGCTTGCAGAGCGCCTCAGTTGCAACTGCCCGACTCCTCGGACCAAGTGAACCCGGCTGCCGTGCACAGCGCGGCATTCGTGAAGTCGCTCGCCAAGCGGCCGGCGGGGGTTTCCTCGATGGTGACCGAACGCACGATCACGGGGCGCGACGGCTCGCCGCCCAGGCTGCCGCCGGCCACGTGCAGGCCGATGATCGACTGGGCCACGGCCAGGCCCGCGGCGTCGGTGCTGCCGAACACCACGTAGGTGCCCTGGGAGTCCAGCCGCGAGGCGTTCGGGCCGTGGTGATGAAGAACTGCGCTCCCGCGGAGTCGGGTCCCGCCGACCGGGCCATCACCAGCTGTCCGGGCTCATAGCGGTACGGCCCGGAGAGCTGGCCCGTGTCGGGGTCCACGTCGAAGGCGGGCTCGTCGGGGATCGTGTATCCCGGCCCGGGGTCAGAGGCGCTGTTGGTGTGGGGCGAGCCGCCCTGGATGATGTCGATCGACGGGTCGGTGCGGAACAGCAGCGTGTGGTGGTAGTAGCCCCAGCGGGCCAGCGTCACGAAGTTGTTGACCGTGCCGGGCGTGTCGGCCGCGGTCAGCTCGAAGCGCATCTCGCCCTCGCTGGTGTCGAACACCGCCACGTAGCGGGCGCCGGGGTCGATGCACATCGGCTGGGGACCGTCGAAGTCGAAATAGCGCGGTCCCGACCCGTCCGGCGGCGGACAGCCCAGCGGCGCGGCCCGCGACGGCTCTGCCAGCCCCGACGGAGGAGGTACGTCCTCCCCCGGCCCTGGCGGCTCTTCCGGCGGAGGCCCCGCCGGTTCGGCCGAGCCCGAGTCCGACCCCGCGGGCGCGCTGCCGCCTCCACCGCCCGCGCCATGGTCGAAGCGCGGCAGTTCGCCTGCCACCTGCTCAGGCGGCGGAGCGTCCACGGCGATGTCTGCGTCGAAGTCGTAGAACTCGACGATGAGCTGGGCCGACAAGAAGTCCAGGACAAGCCTGCGGACAAGGCCAGAGCCGTCAATCCATGCCTCCGCAGCAATGCCCCTGAGGAACTCCGAGAGCTGCTCGAAGTCTCACTCGCCAAGGCGTCCCCGCGGGTCTCCAGTGTCTCTTCGAGGTCGTCGACGAACGAGGCTGGGTACAACTCGGTCAGGGGCACTCTGAACGCCACCCTGGTGGTGGGCACCTCCCGAATCGTGTCGCGGCCGGCGACTTCGCTCCGCTCGCCGTCGCCAGCAGCGCGGCAACCGACGACAACGGGTCGCAATCCCATGAGACGTCGGGGTTCGATTGCGGCAAGACGCAGGGCAGTGCGGCAATGCCCTCCGACCAGCGCGGATCGCCCGAAGACTCGGAGGCGGCCACGAACCAGGCCGAGCGTCCGTCGGCGTCGACGGACGCCTCCACCACCGCAGGCGCGTCCGCGCGCCGGTCGTGCGCACGTAGGCCTCGCGGCCCGCATACCGGATCTCGGCCACGCCGCCGTCGGGGAACTGCGGGTCCATGCCAGGCTCGATTTCGATCCTCACCGAGAGGTCGCCGTCGGCATCCGACTCGAACCTCGACGTCAGCTCGAACGGCGCTTCGCCCTCGATCTCGGGGACAGCGATCGTCGCGACGCCGCGCACAGCCCGTCCGGCAAGCACGGACGAGCCCTCGGCCAGCAGGGCTACGGCGTCGGCAGGCTCCTCCTGCTGTGGGGTCGGGCTTCCGACGGAACCACCGGAGGCGTCGTCCGACGGGACGGCATCGGCGAGATCTGTCTGGGGGCTCTCGACAGCCGGAGCGTCGGTTTCGGCTTGCACTCCTTCGCTGGCCTGCGGGTCCCCGCCACCATCGGAGCAAGCCGATGCTGCCAGCGCTATCGCCACCGCAACCGCCAGCCACGCCGTCCGTCTGTGCATGGCGCCCCCAAGTGGCCCGAGGTGCCGCGATCGACGCCCGCTCCCGACGAAACCTAGCGCGGCAGGCCGGGCAGCCACGGCCAGACCAGCACCGGCACCGGCTTCATGGCCGCCGCCGCCGGACACAGCCCTGCCGGGGGAACCACGCGAGTAGGCGTGCACCGTCGGCTCCTAGGCTCGGGGCGTGGACCTGCCTGTGATGCCGCCGGTGAAGCCGATGCTGGCCCGGGCTGTTGACGGCATTCCCGACGGCGACTCTGGCCTTCGAGCCGAAGTGGGACGGCTTCCGCTGCATCGTCTTCCGCGACGGCGAGGAGGTGGTGCTGGGCAGCCGCAACGAGAAGCCCCTGACTCGCTACTTCCCCGAGCTGATCGAGCCGCTCAAAGGCGCTCGCTGCCGGCTCGGGCCGTGGTGGACGGCGAGATCATCGTGCGCGTCGGCGACCGGCTCGGCTTCGACGCCCTGCAGCAGCGCATCCACCCCGCCGAGAGCCGCATCAACCGGCTGGCCGCCGACACACCGGCCGAGATGGTCGCCTTCGACGTGCTGGCGGTGGCCGACGCCAATCTGATGGATGAGCCGTTCCGTCACCGCCGGGCGCTGCTCGAGACGATGGCCGCCGCCTTCGAGGCCCCGGTGCATCTGGCCCCGTCCACCCTCGACCGGGAGCTGGCCCAACGCTGGTACGAGCGCTTCGAGGGCGCCGGGCTCGACGGGCTGATCGCCAAGCCCCGCGACGGCGTCTACCTGCCCAACAAGCGGTCGCAGTTCAAGGTCAAGCACACCCGCACGGTCGATGTGGCCGTGGCCGGCTACCGGATGCACGTCGACGGCAACGGCGTGGGGTCGCTGGTGGTGGGCACTGCACGACGACGCCGGCGGGCTGCATCACTGCGGGGTGGCGGCCAGCTTCACCGCCCAGCGGCGCCGCGAGCTCCTCGATGAGCTCGCGGCCCACGTGATGGCCGACCCGAGGCAGCACCCGTGGGCGGAGTGGATGGACCCCGTCGCCCATGCCGAGGGCACGGTGATGCCCGGCACCCCCAACCGCTGGTCGGGGCAGCGTCAGCAGCAGCCGTGGGTGCCGCTGCAGATAGCGCTGGTCGCGGAGGTCAAGTACGAGGCCATGCTCAACGGCCGCTTCCGGGGCACCACCCGATTCGTGCGCTGGCGCCCCGACCGCACCCCCGACTCCTGCCGCTTCGACCAGGTCGAGGTGCCCGCCGCCATGGGCCTAGGCGAGGTCCTCTCCGCCTAGTCGGCGCCCGCCTCCAGGCGATACGACCGATCAGTCATCCTCGTCGCCCCGGCCTGGGGCTCTCCGGACTGGTCCTCGAGCCCGGGGGAGTCGGCCCGAACGCCGAGCCCGCTGCCCGTTCCGCCGCCAGTTCGGGCATCCCGATGCCGAGGAAGCCCTCGATCCGGTCCAGCTTCCGGCCGTTCTCGATGACAACGTCCCACAGCTTTGTTGTGGGAGGTCTCAAGCTTGTCATGGGACGAGGTGAACTCAAAGCGCAGCTTCTCGTTGTCCCTCCGGGCCTGCCGGGTCGACTTTGCTTGCAGCTTCAAGAGGTGCCTGTGGTCCCGCCGGGCCTCCTTGCGGAGCCTGTCGACGGTGCGGGTCTGATGCCACACAAGCGTCAACACAGCCACTAACACGGTGGAGATTTGCAAGACGGCCGTGAGGACCATGAGTTGCAGCGTAGCACCTCGAACTTACAAACAACGCCATTTCATGAGTTTTTGTATGAGGCAGCATGCCGATCAGACACCACCGTCCGCGTCTGCAATCAGAATCAGGTCGGGCACAGCCCGTGTGCCCGGGCGGCCAGGCGCTCGGCACCGAGTTCGGCGCAGCGCTCTTTGAAGCCCGGCACGGGGCCGCGCCACTCCATCTCATCGACCGTCGCCGACACCGGGGCGCCCAGTTCGACGGTGGCGATGCGGCGATACAGCAGCGCGTCCTCGAAGCCTTCACGCAGCGCCGCGGCGAGCTTGGCTGCGCCGCGCACCGCGACATCCCACTCGGCAGCGTCGAAGGGGATGGAAGTGATATGGCCGTAGCGGGCCAGCAGCACGGCCGCCGACTTCGCGCCCCAACCGGGCAGACCAGGGAATCCGTCGGCGGAATCGCCCACCAGGCCGAGATAGTCGGGGATCGACGCCGGCGGAACACCGAACTTGTCCACCACGCCCGCGTGGTCGTACATCAGACCGCGGCGGCGGTCGTACTGCACCACCCGCCCGTCGGCGGTCACGCATTGGGCCAGGTCCTTGTCGGGTGTGCAGATCACAACCTGCTCCACCCGCGGGTCGCCAGCCGCCACCGCGGCGGCCGACGCCATCCCGTCGTCGGCTTCGTGCTCGATCTGGGGCCACACCGCGAAGCCGGCCAGCTCCAGCAGTTCCTCGAGCTCGCGAACTGTGCCCTCAGTCGGGGTCCACGCCGCTGCCGTCCTTGTAGCCGGACAGCATCTCGTTGCGAACGACTCGATCACATGGTCGGGTGGCGATTCACGATGTGGTGGCGCCCCGGCAGACCAGGTCGAGCATCGAGTTGAGCACACCCCGCTGGCGCCCGGCGGGGGTCGCGGTTTCGACTTGGCGTAGTGGAAGCGGAAGAGCTCGTAGGTGCCGTCTATGAGGTGAACACGCACCGCGCTCGCCCCGCTACTCCTCGACCAGCTCGATCAGGGTGCCGAACGACCCCTTGGGGTGGATGAACGCGATGGTGGTGTTGCGGCTGCCCGGCCTCGGCGCCGCATCTATGGGTGTGGCCCCGCCCGAACCATCGTGGCCAATGCGGCCGCGCAGTCCTCCACCCGGTAGCCCACGTGGTGCAGTCCCTCGCCTCGCTTGTCGAGGAACTTGGCCACGGCGAGTCGTCCCGGTGGCCGATATCAGCTGCACATAGCTCTCAGCCACCGCAAGCAGGGCCTCCTCCACCCCGTCGTGCTCACCACCTCGCGGTGCTCGACCTCCGCCCCAGAGCATCCCGATACCAGGCGATCGCGGCGTCCAGGTCTCGGACGGCGATGGCCACGTGATCGATCTCGGTGAGCATCACGCAATCTACCGGACGGCCCCGGATGGGTCTCGGCGACTGGGCGCGTCAGGCTCGGCCGCGGCGCGGCAAACGGCGCTTCAGGCTCCGTCGAGTGGTCGGCGGCCCTCGAAGGCCCGCCCAGGGTGAGCTCGTCGGCGTACTCGAGGTCGCCCCCCACGGGGAGCCCGCTGGCGATGCGGGTCACCCGCACGCCGGCGGGCTTGAGATACCGGTGGACCAGCATCGCGGTCGCCTCGCCCTCCAGGTTGGGGTTGGTGGCCACGATCACCTCCTCGATGTCCTCTTCGACCACCCGGGCCAGCAGTCCTTGATGCGGAGTTGGTCGACCCCCACGCCGTCGATCGGACTGAACGCCCCCTGCAGCACGTGGTAGCGGCCGTGGAACTCTCCGGTGCGCTCCACCGCCACCACATCCTGGGCGTCCTCCACCACACAGACCAATCGAGGCTCCCGCCTGGGGTCCCGGCACACCGCGCACTCCCCTCCCTGCTCGGCCAGGTTGAAGCAGCGGGGGCAGTACGACACCCTCTCCTTGGCCTCGGCGATGGCGCGGGCCAGGCGATTGGCGTCCTCGGCGGGCGACTTCAGCAGGTGGAACGCCACTCGCTGGGCCGACTTGGGGCCGATGCCGGGCAGCCGCCCCAGCTGATCTATCAGCTCCTGAACCGCTCTGGAGTAGCTCATGTCGCCACTCGCACTACGCCCCGGCTCCGCCCTGGTCGCCGTCGGCGTCGGGTCGGTAGGACCGCGAACTCGGTGCCGGGGAACGCGGCCTTGATCTTCTGTTCGATGTCATCGGCGTGGCTCGGCGCCTCGTCGAGGGCCTCCAGGTCGTAGAGGTCGAAGCTGTCCATTTCTGCGTCGAAGTCAGGCGGCCCGAACCGGGCATCTGAGTCAGCCGGCGGCAAAGGCTCGGCCACCGATGCAGGCTCGGATGCCAATGCAGGCTCGGCCACGATGCAGGCTCGGATGCCAATGCAGGCTCGGCCACCGATGCAGGCTCGGATGCCAATGCAGGCTCGGCCACCGATGCAGGCTCGGAGCAAATGCAGGCTCGGCCACCGATGCAGGTCGGATGCAAATGCGGCTCGCCACCGAGCAGGCTCGGATGCAAATGCAGGGTCGAATGCCAATGCAGGGTCGGATGCCAATGCGGGGTCGGAGCCGATGCGGGCTCGGACGCCGATGCAGGCTCGGCCACCGATGCGGGGTCGGATGCCGATGCAGGCTCGGCACCGAGAGGGCTCGATGCCATGCGGGGTCGGCCACCGATGCGGGGTCGAATGCCAATGCAGGCTCGGACGCATCGGTCGGAGGCTCCGGCACGGGCGATCCGGCTCCGGCACATCGGTCGGAGGCTCTGGCACGGGCGAATCCAGCTCCGGGCTCGCCTTCACCGCACGCTCCAGGAGGTCCCTCCACAGGGCGTGCAGCTGTGCGGGGTCGCGCCGACGCTCCTGGCTCGGCTCCAGCTCAACCGCTCTGGCCACCACGAAGGTCCGCTCCAGGCCCAGGTGCCTGCGGGCCAGATCCACCACCTCGGTCGGGCTCCGGGGGCGCATCGACGCCAGATCGGGCACCGGCACCGGCGGTGGCGGTGCAATCGGGCCACCGGCGGGGACCGGCGCGGCCGCGGGCGCAGCTGACGCCGCAGGAGCCGAGGCCCGATGCTCCGACAAGGCCCGCCGCGCCGCCGCGGCCGGACCGGCAGCAGGGACCCGCGCGGCCGCGGGCGCAGCTGACACCGCAGGAGCCGAGGCCCGATGCTCCGACAAGGCCCGCCGCGCCGCCGCGGCCGGCGCCGCGGCCGCCGGCGGGTCCGGGGCCTCATCGTGATGTGCGGGCGCGGCTGGCACCGCCGGGCGACCCGGCGCTGGAAGCGCAGCCGCCGGCGCGGAGGCAGGCAGGCCGTCGAGGCGAGTCTCGAGCCGCTGTATTCGCTGGGCCAGCGCTTCTAGAGAGCGATCCTCGTCCGGGTGGCAGAGCCGGACGAGCGCCACCTCGATGTCGACCCGCGGATCGGGCGCCTGCCGCATGTCGATCAGAGCCCGGCCGAGCGTCTCCAGCGCCCGCGTCATCGCCGCGGGCGCCATGCGACTGGCGAGGTCGGCGGCTCTGGCCCGCTCATGCTCGGACAGGCGCGCCGGTGGATCGCCCATCGCGGTGAGGAAGGCGTCCCGCAGTCCGGCCAGCACCATCTCGCCGATGGTTCGCGGATCCCGCCCCCGCCCTACGGCGTCGCCCACCGCAGACAGCGCGGCGGCCCGGTCACCTTCGGCCAGAGCCCCGAGCATGGCGTCGGTGGAAGAGTCGAGGTCGGTTGTCCCGCCGCCGGCCACCACCCGCTCGAGGGCGGTGAGCGTGTCGCGCGCCGAGCCGCCGCCTGCGGCCACGGCATGGTCGATGGCTGCGTCGTCCACGTCCAGCTCGGCGTCGGCGACGACGTACCGGATGAGGTCGGACATGATGTCGGATGGGATCAGCCCGAGCTCGAACACCTGGCAGCGACTCCGGATGGTCTGCACCACCTTGTGGGGCTCGGTGGTGGCCAGCACCCACGTGACATGGGAGGGAGGCTCCTCCAAGGTCTTGAGCAGCGCGTTCTCTGCGCCGGCGGTGAGCATGTGAACCTCGTCGAGCAGGTACACCTTGGCCCGGCCCGGCGAGGTCAGATTGACCCGCTCGAGCAGGGCCCGCATGTCGTCGACCTTGTTGTTGGAGGCGGCATCGAGCTCTTGGAGATCGAACGACCGGCCCTGCTTTATCGACACGCAGGACTCGCAGGCGCAGCAGGGCTCGCCGTCGGAGCCGAGGTCGGTGCAGTTCAGCGCCTTGGCCAGGACCCGCGCGGTAGAGGTCTTGCCGCTGCCCCGGGGGCCATGCAGCAGGTAGGCGTGACCGACCTTTTCCTCGCGCACCGCGCTCTGCAGGGCCCTCACGACGTGGTCCTGGCCCTTGATCTCGGAGAACTTCTGGGGCCGGTAGCGGCGGTAGAGAGACTGGTAGGCCACCGACGTGGACTCTAGACGTGGACTCTGACAACCCGCCGGTCCATGCTCAGTCCGTGGGGCGACCGCCGGCCGGCGCGCCAGCGCCCGTTCCCGGGAGTGACGGCCAGGCGATCTGCGGCACAGGGACGGATCTGCTGAGAGCTGCTGCCTTCCGGCCCTGACCCGGTTCGCAGGCGCCCGTTGCACAGGACCCGGCCGTCACACCCCGAAACGGGCGCTGGTGCGCACACGATACCCTCGCGTGTCCGGACCCGCGGCTCGGGACCGGGGAGGGTTGCCAGAGCGGCCGAATGGGCACGCTTGGAAAGCGTGTGAGGCGAGAGTCTCCGTGGGTTCAAATCCCACACCCTCCGCGCTGTTCTGATCAAATATCGGGCTTTGAACTGGATCTTTACTTACGCATGCTGAATACATTATTACTTCTTCTATCGCACAGATGTTTGCGCCATCAGGAACAGGGCATGGGGCCCCGTGCTGTGGGTACCCGAGATTCTGTCCCAAGAGTGGGCCTCTTGCCTTCATGGAGCCAGGGCACAGGGATCAAAGATAATCCGCGGAACCGGTGATAGAGTAGTGGAAAACGAGTGGAAAACTCTGGGAGAGCACCGCCCCTTGCCCCTGTTCCAAGTCCCTGAGGCACCAAGGTACCGTCTGGAACGGGCACCTCTGGTGCAGGCGCTCGCGCAGGTGCGCTATCCGCTCATCGCCTCGCTTGAGACGATGCCGGGCGTCGCACCGCTGCAGGAGGCGCTCCGGGAGGCCTTCCCCTACATGGAGCAGGAGCGGGTGCAGGAGGTCTCGCTCGTGACCGGCCCCGCTGGACCCGCGGGCGGCGGCAGCGCTGCGTCGGTCACCTGGAACCTAACGAACGACGCTGGAACGCTTATTGTGATCAGCGCCGGTAGCGCCACGCTTTCGGCGGGTGCCTCCTACACCACCGTTGAGGCGTTCTCGACGACTTCGAGCGCATGTTGCACGCCCTGAAGTCGGTAGGTGTGCCACGCTGTGACCGTCTTGGGGTCCGGTACCTGTCGTTGGCCGCTGACCTTCCTGGCGAGGACCGCTCGTGGCGGCGTTGGTTCAAGCCTGAGCTGCTTGGTTGGGCGGGTTCCGAGACTGTTGCTGACGGAGCGCTTGAGACGTCGATCAACCAGGTGATGTTGAGGCAGCCGCCTACTGGCGATCTGGCTGGCCCTCCGGCTGAAGTCCAGGCCACCGTGCGTCACGGTGCTGTGCCGGCTGGGACCGACGTTCCAGGTATACCTCCGCTTCAAGTGTCGGACCCGTCGTACCTTGTCGACCTAGACGTCTACGTGGCGGGGCACCAGCCGTTCGATCCCGAGAAGATCCTCAAGCAGTTCGAGATGTTCCACGCGCAGATAGACCGCTTCTTCTATTGGTCCCTAACACAGGAGGGCGCAGAGCACTTTGAGATTGTCGACTAGCATCAGCCCGACAAGGACTGGCGTTCTTGATCCGTTGGCGGCCGACGTTCGTCCTTGGCGAGTCGCGCATCAAGAAGCCACGGTTCTCCTGCAGCCCCTGGAGGATCGATACGAGCTATTCGATCTGTGGGTCAAGACGCCCAAGATTGTGAGTCGGCCAGCGCCGCAAGCACAGCGCCTCACACAGGAGCTTCTCGTGTGGACGGGTTGGTCCCACCGTGGCCTGGCCAACGTGCTGGAGATTTCGCATCCGACGGTCTCGGCTCTGGAGCAGGGCACGTCGCCGGCGCGGGTCGGCGATCTCTTCGACCGGCTTGTCGAAGTGCATGAGGTCATCAGGAGGGTGCACTTGATCGCGGATTGCGACGCTTCAAGGACCAGCCACCTGGTGAGCACACCGTCGGAATCCGGCACCAGCGCAGTGAACCTGCTCGCGCAACGGCGGCCAGCCGAGGCGTATCTTGCCGCGTTGGATGCTCAGCGCCCGCGTCGTGTCGGGCCCATGATGCAGAGCATCTGGCCAGCAAGGGCTGGCGACGCCACAGTCGATCTGGCTGAAGATCCAGTGTGAGGCCGCGACGCGATGTCCGACCTTCACACCGAAGGGTGGAGACAGGGAAGCGTTGTCTCATTTGAGTTGACGACGTCTCACCTAACGACCGCCGGGGGCCGGATTCAAGAAATCTCGCAGCCGTACGGCCGGTGGGTCGTCTGCACACAGGACTGCGACCTCCGATCAGCGAGGATCGACTCGCATCAGCCAATGATCGAACTCAGGCCCGTACTGGACGAGGATCCCCCTTCTGACTGGGGCATCCGCAGCCGGCGTTTCCTGCTGGGCGAGGGCGCCTACGTCGACACCGACGCACCTCGATGTGTCGTTACTCCGGCACTGCTGAGCACGATGCGCTCCGGTCACGAGAAAGCCCTGGATGACACGCGATCCAGAGCGTTCAAGACTTGGCTCGGACTCCGATACGACAGGCCCGCCGTGCCGGAGCACGTTGTGGAACTCGCACGCGAGATCGCAAGAAGGTGTTCCGGTGGCCGCGGCCGGGCAATCAGCGAACAGGTTCATGATGTTCTGATGCAATTCGACGACAGTGCCCAGCCGGTGCAAGTTGCACTATTCGGCGTGATCGCTGATAGCGCCGCCGCAGAAGCCGTGCGCGTCTGGCTAGCCGACGTAGCAACACGCATCAACTCAGACCTTGGCGTTGTAGCCACTATTGACGTGGGGACACGTGCCCAGACATCGCTGGAGCTAGTAGAGACGAGCTACGCGGCAGACCTAAGTCAGCTCACATGGCACCGGAACCGCCCGATCTGACCGCAAACTCCGCGTCTGACGTGATCCCGCGTGGCGTGAGGCGTGAGATTCAAATCCGCTGCTGGCAGCCCCTTGCGTCAACAGCCGCTGGAAATCTGCTAATCGCACCGCAACATCACAAAGCACCGCCAGCAGCACCCAGACCCTCTCGAGGCGCCCCGTAGTCGTCGCTCTGGGGGTGAGGAGCAAAGAAGTCGAGATCGTTCGTCGGCCGCGCCACTATGCCGGTGACGATGAGCGCCGCGCCGCCGGCAAGCGCGAACACCCCCGACTCCGGGAGCCGCGCAACGACACGACGGACCTGGTGCGGTGGCTCCGACGGACAGGACCAGCGCTCATGGCAGGAGGCCATGACTCCTACACGCTACGGACAGCGCGTCCTCGAGGGCATGCTCTTGCCACCGCCTGTGGTGAAGCCCTATTGCAGTTGCACGTGTTCTGCCCACGCCTCCATGAGGGGACGACGCCGGTCGAGCATGTCGGAGCGCTGGTAGGCGCCCTCGACGCCCTTGACGGCGTGTCCTAGGCACATCTCCGCGAGGTCACGGGGCACGCCGGTGTCTGAGCACCACGACCGGAATGCAGCCCTCATGCCGTGGGGTGTGCCGTCGATGGCGAGTTCTCGCATCAGCTTGGGGAACGACTCATTGGTCAGTGCCCGCACAGTGGTCGCACTCGGGAAAGCCAGCCCGTCTCCGATGCCGACGCTGCGGGCCTCCACGAGGACTTCGAGCGCTCTGGCTGACAGTGGCACGCGGTGGGCTGTCTTTGTCTTGGTCCGCTCGGGCGGGATGGTCCACACCGCTCCATCAATGTCGAACTCACACCAGTCAGCGCCGCGCACCTCGCCTGAGCGGGCTGCGGTGAGGGTGAGGAATTCCAGGCCCAGCTTGGCCGCCACGCTGGCATTCGACGCCCGGATCTTCTCCAAGGCCTCGGTAACCTCGCTGTGGTGCAGGGCACGGTGGTGCTGCGGTTTGTCGGTGTGGCGAGGCAGCGCAGTGACCGCCGCGGCGGTGGGATCGTCGGTGCGGTAGCCCGCGCCCATCGCCCACTTGAGGATCGTGGAGACCCGCTGGGCGAGCCGCCTGGCCGTCTCGGGACGCGTAGTCCACGGATCAGCGAGAACGGCGAGAATGTCGCCCACCGTGATCCGATCGACACGCTCATGGCCCCGAGCAGGGGGAACACATAGGTCTCCAGGCTCGCCCGCCACTGCTGCTCGGAGCGGCTCCCCGGCTTCCACTGCCGGGCGTGCAGTGCGATCACCCGCTCGGCGGCTTCGACAAGGGACGGAATACCGTCGCCTCGGGGATCGCGGCCCTGCTCGACAGCCCGACGGTTCTCCAGGCACTTGGCCCTCGCTTCGGCCAGTGTGACGATCGGGTAGGCGCCAAGCCCGATCATGATTGGCTTGCCGTTGACCCTCAAGCGCTGGGACCAGGTCTTGGACCATCTGCCGTTGCTCGTAGGCCGTACGAGTAGGCTCAACCCGTGGCCGCCGCGCCCGTCCCCGTAGCGTCCAGGCTCATTGACCGTGCGGACGAAGGCGGCGGTGAGCGTCTTAGGCCGGTTCATACGTACCCTTTTTGTTATTACTTTCTAAGTGATAACGAATGATAGAGGCAGATCACGGATGAGACAACGAACGACCTCCAGGAGGACAGTTTCACCCCTTCTGACCAGTGCTTTATGATGACGGATGACAACGGACGACCACGTAAGAGAAAGGCCGGCATCGCGGGCACACCCTCCGCGCTGTGATGTCGCGAGACATAGGAACATCGCGAACCCTGTGGATGCCGAAGCCTCGGTCGTGGACGTTGACCTGCAACGATGCCAGCCGATCCTGATTCAGGTGTAGCGATGCGGTGGGGCATGCCCGGTGCCCTGGGTGCATCGGGTCCGGCTGCGCTCCCCGACATGGCCGCACTGGCGCCGCGCCGTTGGCTGCCCTTCTGACGCCTCGGCTACTGCTGTCTCGCGGCGCCAACGGTCGACGACATCAGGCGCTGAGCGTTCAAACCCCGCCCGGTGCATCTCCCAGCAGTGCCTGAGCAGCTTGCTTCTACGGTCGACGACCTGCAGCATCTCGGGCAGCTCGAATACTCTGTGGCCGGTGTCTTCGTCGCGTGTCTCCGCTAAGGCGCCGCTGCTGACGAGCTTGCGCAACCCTCGCCTGACGGCGTTAGGGGCTCGACCGGTCACGTGATGCAGAT